TCGATCAACAGCACAGATAAATGGTGTAAAGAAAAAGAGAGATGGTAAAGACGATATAAATAAGGGAGACAGGAGACGTTTAAGGGATATGGGAACGATGTGCATTATCTTAAGATGAGTGGTAGGTGCGAAGGAGGAATCGAGCAACGCCGAGGGAGCTGAAGAGAGAAAAATATGGGGTGGAAGCAACATAGAAAGTCCTTGAAGTGGAAAGGTCACAACCTACTCTCTGGCTACTGTTGTGACAATTTCACACTGAGAGCTAACGCACCCTGAAAGTGACAATGCCACATAAATGGGATGTTATTTAAATAGATTATACGTTTCAGCCTGCAAGCTCAAGTGAAATATGAATCTGAAATATATGCTGCTCGCTTCAATACAAATCAAAACAGCTAGATTGTCGGCTAAACGTTTCATCTAAACGTGCTGATACAGTCAGGTTTAATTGGGTCTGATCACTGAGTCACAAACTGCTAATAAACTAAAACAGCAGCCCCTGGGAGATGAATTAATGGACTCAGATCCATTTAAATAAATCCATGTGCACAACACAACCGCTCATTTTCCACCTCGATCAGGACCGAGAGACAGATGATTTGTTTGATTGGAAAGCCACCAGTGCAAGTCGAATTCAATCACAGTCAAGGAGTCGAAAATCACTGTTAAGTCACCAGGCAGCAGCGGCAGTATTTCATACACAGCTCCCACGACAAGTCACGGGAAGGGGAAAGGAAAGACAGCAGAGGGTCTCTGGGAATTTAAATTTTCCACTTGAGGATGCAATGTTGAACTATTTTTTAAACCGTACTTAGCAGCCTTATCAATCAATAATGTACGGTGGCCTACGGGGGGCATATGACGTGCATATACACAAACGAGCTGCATGTACATGAATGCGCTGCATAAACAGAAACGCACTGCGAAAGGAAAACGCTGCATGGATGAAAACAAATGCAAAAAGAAAAGGCTGCGTAACAGAAGTGCCCCAGGCCTCTAGGGGCAGTAGTGAGCTTTTCACCTGAGACGCCGACAACGGTGAGTGAGACACGTTAGTTGAGGGAAAAGCTGTATGAAAAGGTATGTACTCTCTGGTCTCCATGGATAAACCTAAATAACAGAGAGAACACAGGGAGACGGTAGTAAAACACCACCGCAGCACCCATATAATCACAGTGACTGAAAGGCTGAAGACTTAAAAACTGCCCCTGTGGCACTTCCGCTGTGTGACTGTGACTGTTTTCTTTTTGCAGCACGTTTCTGTTTATGCAACACATTCAAGTGTATGCAGCTTGTTTGTGTACGTGTGCGTCATTTGCCTCCGTCGGCCACCGTAATAATTAATATAAAGAAATGAAACAAGCACTGTCCTGATGAAGCTGCTTTAAGCGCAACACAGGCTAATTCATTGGAATAGATCATAAGCCACTAGCCATAGCACACTGTAGCTCAACTACAAGACAACAGTTTCGGCCTGTCGGCATAAAGCAGCACAGAAGACTTCCTCATGGTTGCACTTTACTAGCCAATATCCCATAATGCTCTCTGCTTGCCAACATGGATCTACCAGCAGTCCAAGTGCGTCCACAGGTTGCTACCGAGCGAAACAATAAGAAGCTCCCCCTGGTGGCACAACCCGATACTACAGCTAATCTACAATACATTTTCTGACATGTACGTCCTTCAGCTTTTGCCTTGTTGGGTAATATATTCCTAATCAGTTAAATTAAACATATCTGCTTCCAACTGCAGTTAATGTAAAATTCAGACAACATGGTATCAGCTCTCATTGCTATTTGATAGGATAATGAGGGAGAGTGCACATCACATTTCCTTGCTTGTGTTTCTCCGTATTGATAAAGAATTAATTCCACTTTCTTTCCCCCTGAGCAGAATCCATTATATTTGCCACAGTTTAGGCAGCAGACCTTAGCACCACGCTGAGCTGCTGAGGTCAACATCACTTGTTTTTCTTATTATCTTCAACACAAGGTTTTACTCGTTTTTTTTAGCAGTTTTTATTAAACCTCGGTTTAATTCTAATCATTTTATTGATCCGAATGCTCTCCCATTACCGTTTAATTAATCACTTTCTGACACCGTTAGGGCCTATAAAAGAGAAGCAGGAAGGAAACCATTAAACGTAAGGAGAAGATATCGGATGGGAGACGGAGGAAAGAGGAAAAGGGGGTGGCTGGGCGGACTGTCTGGGGTGAAGAGCAAGAAGACCTGACAGCAAAAGCATCCAGGGATCAGACCTCATCAGCCAGAGAGAGATTTGTAGAGACACAATAAGCAATGGCATATATGGTGGGGCAGTATACAGGATACGTGCCTGTGGGTGGATACAGAGAGCTCGTATATACTGACCTTTGTGTCTTCTCATGTGTGAACACTGTCACAGAAGAATCACAGAGACACACGGACATGCTCCCCACACCAAGTACTTAAAAAACACTGGACAGCATTTCTAAACTAAATACGCACCAGTGTGAACAACACAAATCAACACAACAAACGAGCAGAAATCCTGTCATCCTGCTCTCAGACTTCATAAGACATGAGTGTGTTGACACAAGTTAAGGAGACCTGGTTAAGATCATGTTCAGGTTGACATTTGCATGGAACAGAGAAACCTTTTTATGCATAAATGATAAACACTAGTATTCTGGTAACTCTGAATTATTTTGACTGGGGCCATTAACCTGAGTTGTTCTACTGGGTGTACTTACAAAAACACACCCTGTAACCTGTCTACAACAGACAAGCATGTCAGTATTTTAACATTTGCTCCCATTACTACTACTAAATTTAACTTTTTCATTATCTATTTAAGTTTCCGTTACTCTAGCTAGCAAATTTAGGGGTTATAAAAACCAGGATGGGGACATGTTCCAGCTCAGTTTAATACACAAACATGGTATAGCTTAAAAACTCGATCACAACCGAGATGCTCATGTTCATGTAAACACACATCATTTATAATTTAAAACTGCGGCACTAAAAGCTATTGCAGTGGATTTTTGAGTGCTGGTTGAGCTCTGCAGCTGTGGTTGTGGGCACATGTTCAAATGCATGTACACCCACCTGGACGAGGACATTCTGGTTCGTCCTACCATAACCCTTAATTTAAGCGCCCATATTATGCATATTGTGCTTTTTCCTTTACATTGGTGTGTTGTATAGCTACTTTTTTGTGGATGGAAATGGTCTAAAAACTTGTAAAACCAAAAATATACACCACAAGGAGTAATTCTCTCGTCTCGTCTCACTTAAAGTCCAGGCTTTTCTTCAGCTATACATCACTGAGTAACATATTTTCCTATAGAGTGAATAGTTTTTCACGATCTAAAACAAAAAATAAGCAACTCCCCATCATTATTTCCCGGCTAGAGCTGCTTCTGCTAAGTGTAACGTCCTTTTACATAGAGATTTGTGGTTACAGTACATAACCATCGATGGCGTTTGTGCCGTTTTGTATTGTGGTGGATCATTTGTGAGCTCTGTACAGGGAGAGGACTGACGTAAACACTGCTGTAGCTGACTGGAGAGTCTGCTCCAGCCCCAGCTGCCTGCCACTGCAGCTAATTAGCCTGGAGCTCCAGACCTGCGCCCCAGCTCTAGTTCTTCCCGCCTCCCATCCCTGATTGGACCACCAACCAGTTCCCTCTACCCTCAGCCAGTCAACCTGCAACAATCAACGCATCTGGATGATAAAGCCTCAACCAAACTCTCAGTTGGGGCGGCTGGGATTTGGTGTGAACAGTTCGACCTGGTGCCTCTTGTTTTGTGTTTTTATGTTTCCTGTGTTCAACCATAACTTCTGTTGGCAGCTTCGTGTGACGGTTACTCGAGGCTTAGTGAAGACTGCAGCTCCAGTTAGCAGCTGCATAACTCAGTGTAGAAGCTACTCGTGTCTCTGTTTAATGTGTGTTTTGAGACACTTTTGCTGGGTGTGAGTGTTGCTTTTGGATTTAAGTTTGGTTTTGTTCTTATTGATTTTAGCAACATCCACTCGTTTTCTTTGTATTATCACCGTTTGTGTTCATTTACGTTGCTGAGCAATAAATTGCTTTACTTCAACCAACAACAACTGCTTTTGTTGCTACATCCAGCTGATCCTAGAGGCTGGATCGTAACAGCCCCGTTATCGTGAGGCCAGCTGACCAATCAGAGCAGACGAGGGAGGCGGCCTTAAAGAGGTTAAAATGGAGAGTTTCAGGTGCTGCAGTGACGTACAACATGAGAAAAAAAGCTTTTAAATATATTCTAGAAAACCTCCAAAATAAAATTATGTCTGTAAATTTGCATATTATGAGCTCTTTAAGTTATATTTTTATCAACACTGAATCATTTAAGATGTGAAAGAAGCTCCTACTACAGGTCCCACAGAAAATCAACACCTCACTCTGCAACTCAGCTTCAAGTTCATTGTTTTGGTTTGCAAGCATAAATAAAACCATATAAAACAAGCCTATATTACAAATGTGTTCTATAGTGGACATTATTTTAAATGCACAGTCTACATTTGACAGGTGGAAGAAGCATCAAATGTGCTGATGTGGATCAACCCAAACTTTTCATGTTTAGATTGATTAAAAATGAATACGCTCCAGAAGTATGTAGTGTAGACTATGTAAAAGTCAAACATATCAATCCGTGACTTCACTGTTGTCTCAATGCCACATATGCACTCATGCAGCAGGGGACTTTTAACCCGTATAAACAAAATGTGCCATGTACTTGGTGTGACACTAAAATAAAACAAACACATGAAGCATGACGGCTTCACTGCTCTTAAAATCATTTCTTCATTTCTGCTCTCGTTTGACTATTATTTGAGGTATATACACAATATATATTTATAATTAATCACCCCAATTTGCAGACACTCTTCAGGCTTTCTAAACGCCATATCTGGGACGGGGAATTGTACTGCTCTCCACAGCACTGACCACAACACAGCAATGGCCTTAAAGTGATTTTAAGAAAAAGCCTACCTCAATCCTCCCGGTGTCTGGTTGGAAGCCTCTGGCCGGATCTTCGGTCGTCACTCTGCACTGGATCGCACATCCGTTAACCCTGATCTTGTCTTGTTTCAGGCTGAGCTCCGGCAGGCTGCGGCCTTCGCACACATGCAGCTGGGCGTGAACCAGGTCCACACTGTTGTAGAGAGAGAGAGAGGAGATGAGGTGAATAAATTAATTGACAACCTAAATATGGTGTGAATAGCCCTTTATTTCCCTTGATGTGACTGTGGAGAACATTTTCCCCACTTACATCAAGGCCTAAAAGACCAGTAAGGTCATTTACTCAATATACAGACTTTGAGCTATTCTTGGCCTGATATCAGGGCGGAGAAGGAGGGGACATTAAATAGATGTGATTTTTGCAGCATTCATCACTTGAGCAAATGAACTGATGATGCGTGACAAGAAAGCAATCCCTTAGACACCTCTTAAAACTTTTGTAATAATTCGATGTTGCTGAAACAATGACTCCAGGGAAAGCAAACGGAACACAGAAAATCCAGTTTTCCATATTGGAATCCAAGTGATAAATTAGCAGCATAACTCTTTGTTTGGTAAAGTTTAGTAGGTATCCTAAGGTGCTAAAAACAACCTCAGATAAACCAGGTCCTACGGTATGTACGCCCAGACCAGTGCGTCTTGAGGACTAGTATGTTTGTTTCATTTGAATGCTTCATTCACACTGATGTTGACACACGGCTGCAAAGACGTCCAGTATGTTTTTCTACCACTTCTGTGAGTAATGAAGAAACTGCTTGCAAATAACCAGTCAAATATAACTTGCCAGATAACTCAAGATTGTTCAATTCTCTTGCTTGTTCAGACCAAACAAGTACTATCCTTGGGTTATTTCATTTTGGAAGAATGGCAAATATCAACCCTGTATATGTTTAATCTGACCTGAGCTGTCTGAGTTCATTTTCTTCAACTTTGTAAAAGAGCTGGAAGATAAAATGATGCCAGTATGTCGACGATGGACACTTCATTATGAGCAATGCCATCGAGTGCGCTGTAGTTTCACTTGAATGCAATAAATGCAAACCACAGTAATTGCACGCAACGAAAGCAAGAAGTTCAGCTGCATGAACAGTCTCCCTCTGTGGTGCAGAAACAGCCGATCACACGTTGCTACGAGTGACATGCAAACAGCCAATCATTTAACAGATTGTTGTGGTTGCAGTCGTAACATCAACATGTGACAACAACAGCAGCAGAGTGAGAAAATAAGTGCAGACGGTGAGGAAATAGTGGGTAAAAATAGAGACAGGTTGGCTCGCCAGTGTGGTAGTTTTGTGTTTTTTTTCTAGTCTGACTAACATAAGAATACTGGAAAGTGTAAACTGTGCAGGAAAATCCTCCTAACCAACAGCAGGGATACAACAAACCTATTTTATCACCTTAATGGCTTCCACCATCATCAGTCATGACCTACAGATGGGTGACAAATTAAAGGAATAACCTGAGCACTTGACCTCTGCAGTGAGGGGAGCTGGTGGCTCCATTGTGTTGTGGTGGGAATTTTGCTGGTCTGGTTTGAGTCCATTTGTCCACTTAAAATCCCTGCAAGTCAATACTGTTTGTGCTGAGCGATCACCTTTATCTAATGAGAGGAGAGGTTGCTTCCAGGATGACGGTGTTTCTTGAATTTCCCTTCTGGGATAAATAAAGTATTTTTCATTCATTCATTCATTTCTGTCTGTAGTGTACAACAGGTGAAGCACAAGATCAGATCTCAACCTAATGGAGATTTTGGACCAACATGTCAGACAGTGCTCTCCACCACCATCACCACCATCAAAACACCAAATCTATGTTTTGTATCTTTGGAAGAATGATGTTTGGTGGCACATGGTGGTTTAACACCTTGCTAAGATGCTTAATTTGTCACCATCTGCTACTTATCAAGAAACAACCCACAGGCGGTCCATGACGGAGAGGAACTCAGCAACAATACGATATGACAAAACGTCAGAACGGTACAAGGGCATACGCAGCAGCCAACTGTCTTGGTAAGCATATGCCTCCAGTCAGCATGTTTGAGGAGTCTGGCTTCAGAAAGCCTCTCAGCGTGGTTGACCCTCGATATATTGTATTGCCAGCACTTTTCAAAGAAAAGTTGTTGTGTTGTTTTTGTTTTTGAGAGTTTGGGGAATCAGTACAAAACGAGCCCGGTCTCCTGCTTTTCCACATCCTCCACCACCTGGTTGAGTCGCACCTGTGAGCCTTGTATTAGCCTAACTGTTCATTTCCCACACTGAATGGGGTGTGGAGAGTGGAGGCAGAATATTTTCCAGGGAACCGCATGGGGGAATTGATTGCACTTTGATGCACCGGTCCCATGGTGTCTGAATAAAAACAACCAGGTGTGCATCACCGCAGACAGTGGGGCGGATTTGGTGAAAGCCATTCCACTTACCAACTGGACTCAGCTGCAATGTTTGCACCATCATTTGCTATTGATGAGCAACATTTAGGAGTTTCATGGTCGTCCACGGTTAGTTTTTGGGGTTTTATTATTGTAGGTGCACGACAACAGGAATATTCTCAAAGTCAAATGAGACAAAAAGTCCTTCCTCTCTTAATTTAAATAGTAAAAATATTATATAATAACAAAAATATTATAATAAGACTGCAACGTTAAAAGAAAACTATTTATAGTGCAAGGCTTCAGCTTGGCACATCATGTTCTTTTTAAATATAATACTTATTTTTGGGCAGCAGCTTTTCTTTCAGAACTATTTGTGTGTTTTTATTGCACTTATTTAATGAATTACTTTTCTGCATTCATTAATAGTGGCTTGTATTGCTGATTTTCTCTTCTTTTTTTCCCAGGGGCAGCAGGGAAGGACAAAAGAATGGACAGAACCAGTGATGTGTACGAGAAAATGGTGGCAGTACTTTCATATCCACTGAAAAAAAGGAGACATCTGGCAGCAGCTCAGGAACAGTTCAATCTCCCCAAACACCAGCTTGTTACCGAGTCGCCACGGAGGAAGAAGATCGCGGCAAGACTGTTGGAACAACGAGAGGCCGCCGCTCTCGTCCTGGCTTCGGCAAATACCCGACACCTGGTGCCAACGTGGCAGGACATCGATATCCCCGAGTTCATGCGTGAAGTATTCTCTGGTGGAGATCACAGATTGTCCTTCTGGAGGGTCATACGTGACAGTGTCACATGTGAAGCCTTTCCTGCAGCTGTTCCGGACAAAATTAACTGAGAGCTACTAAATGGGACACTCTGCTCACAAAAGAGTTAAAGGCCAAAATCATGGCATAAATTCATGAAAAATATGCAGAACAGGTCACCGATGACCTGCCTGACAGATCTACTGTAGTCAATCAGGGATTGGAGGCTGGTGAAAACAAGGGTACTGTGGGAAACGATGGATGATGACCAAGGACAATCAAAGACAAGAGCTTCAGTTGGAACAGAAGGAGGAGCTGCTGCTGAACCACCGCTGGGTATGAAGACACAGCGGAAATCTTTCTGTAGCTTCTTCAAAAGGCAAAGCCCCAATGCAAATACCTCTCACTGAAATGCAAAAAACAAAGCGAGCTAGAAAGAAAGCCGACGTCTTGTGATGCAGACAGTGAGTCTGGAGCTCTGGTGAGGCGGAAGCTGCGAGAGCGTGACTTCCCAGGAGTGAGGCAACTTACAAAGAAAGATTAGTGCCTCCCTGACCACCAGCAGGCCCTCTGAGAGAACTTTAGTCTTTGGGGGCAACGTCTTCACATGAAGCATTAAAACCACTCACTCACAGTTTTAAATAGGGTTGAATGTTTTGGGGACAATATTTAATTACTATTTCTTCTGACAGCTGTTGTGATTTTTTCAAAGTAAAGCAGTAAAAGAAAGACGCCATCAAAGAGCAACTGTCATAAAAGGAAGCCTGGATAAAAAGTTACACTACACAACACTGACGCACACAAAAGCTTTTGCAATTTGCTGATTGCATTATTTCAAACTCCAATCTTTATTTGAAATTGAATAATTATTCAGCCTGGAAAAATCGGAAACAGTTTTATTTCCTGTGTTGATTTGGTGCGTTACCGTTCATGCTGACAAGTACAGAACTTCTAAAGAAGGATAAAAAGATTTTTTATAAAAGAAAGTGTTGCAAGTCAAATAAACAGCATGTTTACCAAATCCAAGGAATTCTAAGGGATCGACAAATATTACAAATGTTTGCAATGTGTAGGAATGTACAAAATATTCCCCTGTGTATGTGTAAATGTTTATAACACATGTAGTCAAATTGAGATGAGCAAAAATATCTAATATGGTTTATTATGGCTTGATGTGAATTTAATTTTCTGAGTCAAATTACATTTTATCTCTTTTTGTTGGAGTGTTGTGGTGTTTTACATCTTGCAAACATCAAACTGAAAGACTTAAAAATGTACCCTAAATTTCACAAATACAGTAAAATATTATTTACCAAGTTCAAGAGTTTGATTCACGTTTGATTGATCATTGTATCTTACTGATATTAGGTCCATTTACTTGCTTTGCATATTTAATGTGAATCAAGATGAGATCCTTCCTTTACTTTTATTACTTGTATTTATTTATGTAAATTCCTTTACATGTGTGCATTTGTCATTGCTGAATTAAAATAAAAAATAATCTGTGTGCCCTGATTAAGTGGTTAACCCTGTGAGGCTATTATCAAGGTAATTTATCTACCGTTACACTTAAGCTTAAGCTTGTAAGAGCAAGCCATCTTGTCTTTTCTTTCAGAGTAGACAAGTACGAAATTGAGATCTTCCATCATTTGATATGATAATACTTGTAGGTTTTATATCTTAGCCTTGAGATCAGGGCAAAATGGTATTACATATTCAACAACTGTTGTGTTTTTACATACTTAATTCAAGTAGTACAAACATCTCTTTCTAATTGTGCAGGAGAAGCTGTCTCTGATGCAGTTGGTGTATAAAACAAGGACTTTGTGACTGATTTAACCAAGAAACAGAAGTTGTTTGCACCAGTTTGATTGGTGTTCATGTTGTTTTGGTACATACATATGTATAAATAGCAGGATGACAAAGCTCTGGTTTTGCTCTTTCTTGTGACAGACGAACAAAACGTTGCAGAGAAACATTAATATCACAGTAATTATTGAACTGCAT